CCTTTAAAGCAGATGTGGCTGGGACTTGCAAAGATGATGTCTCCAATTGAAATAATAATAACAATAGCTAAACTCTTCCTCCAGCAAACTATAAAAATAATATAGAATTCATTTTCATGTCGTACCTACCATGTATCAAGTATATATATCAAGTTCACCTCTTTCTAGATTCACACCACCAGTTTCTACAGTTGCCCTAGGTTCTCTTGCCACACTGCCTTTATTAGTTTCCTATTTCTCCTAAAACAAATTATCACTAACTTAGTGACAGAACCAACACTGGTTTATTATGTTACAGTTCTGAGGGCCAGATGTCCAAACTAGCTCTCACTGGACTAAAATCAAGACATTAGCAAGTCTGCATTCCCTCTGGAAGATCTCAAATAGAATCCATTTAATTGTGTTCTCTGGGTTGTAGAGGCCACCCGCATTCCTTCCTTCATGGCTTCTTTCCCCATTTCGTCTCTTCTCACTGACCTCTGTTTTAGTTCTTAGATCTTCTCTCTTTTACTCTGATCTTCCTATCTTCCTTTTACAAGGCTCATGTGATTACATTGGGACCAAACAGATAATCCAGGATGATCTCCTCATCTCAAAGTTCTTAACTTAATCACATCTGCACAATTTCCTCTACTATGTTAAGCTAATAACTTCTAAGAATTAGGACATGGATATCTTTAGGGGTTGTTATTCAGCCTACCATAGTGTCCAACATAGAATACAAGATTAACGTGAGCTTAGTTAATTTATTTAAACCATTCTTGCTAAGTGCACTCATTATCTTACAGTGAACAAGAAATTCTGTGTAAATACTTCTTTTTATTAAAAAAAAAATCTAATACTTGAGTTTCTTACTAGTCACCTGAAATTTTCATTTGTGGCAAATATGAAAATGCACTTGAACAGTTGAGCAATACAGAAATACGTAATTTCAGTTGCCAACTCAATCTCTTCTTGTTAAACCTTGACAACCTGGCATTTGAAATAGAAAAGCTATGTAACAATTCCATTTTGTAAAATAGTCTTTCAGTTTGGGGACATAGAATTTTATAAGTTTCCAAATGTCCCACAGACAAGCTTTAAAATGGACAGTCAAACACACAGACAAAAAGGATTCCTTGGAAAGGACAGTGACAGGAGTTTTCTAATTCTTTACATGCTCTTTGAGAGAATGTTCAAACAAGAAAAAAAAATGATGGCCTTTCTGAGTTAAAACCATTCCAACTGCTTCAACAGATCACTGCACAAGAGTGAGCAACTGCTTATTGAAATTCCACCTCCCAGAAGCACCTTTCATGCCCTCTTGTTCAGGGAAAAGTCTGTAATATTAATCAGCTATGGCCTTACAAAAGCTGGAGGCAAACACTGAAGGCTTGGTGCCACAGGCACGTGACCCCCACGTGAGGTTTGCATGAGTGATTTCTCCATGGTGTTCATGTAGTTCCAGTGGCTCGGCTGCTACGACCGCCACCCTCTTGTTTTTTCCCTGCTCTTGGATTGTTGGTCTACAGTGTGGCTCCATGAACTTCTGTATATATTAAGTTGGTTTTTAAAAGCCTGGTATGTTGACATATTGGTACAGATCCATTATCTTTTATCTGAAAGTCTTGGAGGCAAATGTGTTCAGAAAGGAACACATTTTGGGGTTTCAGAAAGGAAACACGGAGCATATACTATATATTAAGTTAACACTTTTAGTAGGTCTAGATCAGTACCTCTTAATATTTCTATGATAAAATAGATAAATATTCTCACCAAGAAGTATAAACTCAGATTATTATTTTTTTTATTTCACAAAAATTTAGGTTTCTCTTTTGCTGTGGATTTAATTTTAGAAATATTTAGGGACTGTGGATCTATATTACAAGTTGATGAGGTTTCTTTTCTTTTCTATCTTTTTTTTCCTGTTGTTTGCCATTCACATAGAAGCTCAGTGGAAACTCTAAACTCCTAGAATCAGTGGAAAGAGTTTAAGTGCCATGGGGCCTTCACTTCATTTTAACAACAGGGGACTTGTAGCGAAGGGTTCAAGTAGTTTGGTGAGGTCATAAATGAACTCCAGACTAGGCACTATATTTCTGACATCAGAGCATCCTAGGTTGAATTCAACCCCAACTAAATTTGTCATCTAGACAAGTTTGTACCCAGCCTTACTTCCCAGGTTACCATTATACCTCTATTTAGAGAAGGTCCTCACTCATGGGTCTATTAGAAGCACTAAATCACTTACTTTTGTAAGTGCAAGTCCTAGCACAGCAAGTTGTGTGTACTGCATGCTCAATAAAAGGTGACCATTACTATCCTCAGAATGATTTTTATGACTGTTATTGACCTACTTCAATTAAATTCAGTAAATATTTACTGAACCCCTCCTTGGAAGGCACTGGGATAGGTTATAGGAGTGAGCATGGCAGAATTATCTGCCCATTACACTGTAAGCAATTTGAGGTTTTCTTTTGTATCTGTTATGAGTACTTAGCACTGTCTCCCACACACAAAAAACTCTCAGTGCACTGTGGTTGAATTTAATTAAATCCAAGGTGCTCACAATTGAACAAGGAATATAGTAACAATAACAATAAAGAATGTGAGAAATACCTTAAAAGACTGAGAAATACACTTTGCAAAGAGCTATGGGAATAGGAAAAAACTTTTTTCTTCTGGCTTAAAATAGAGGAAGACTTTAAGGAAGTGGAAGCATTTGTGATAGACCTGAACAGGAGGGTAGGTCTTCAGCAGGCACAGTTGGGGGTTAAAGAAAGGCCATTCCGGGCAAAAAAAGAATTCAAGCAAATTCCTACAAAGGTGGAAAATTGCATAGTATATTTAATAAGCAGTGGGTTATGTGCTTGGGAGATTGCATAGAAGTATTGCATGGGTCATGCACAGGGAGGAATTTCAGCCTGCAGTTTCAGAGGTGAGTTAAGAGTAAGTCAAACAGAACCTGGAATGATATATGAAGGAGTGTGGACTGTATATTGAGGCTTGGTAGGGCTAATTTTTTTTATCTTGCTTTGTTCTAGCAGGAGATGATCCAAACCAATATGATCTGGGCCAAGCTTTAGGAAAATTGCTAAGGTGGCATTTTATAGGAAGAATTGAAGGACAGAGAGAGAGGGAAGGTAGATAGATCCATAAAGGGTATATAAAAAGATCCTGGGTGAGAATGACGAATGACTAAGTTAGAGCAGGGGCAGAGAGGGTGGTTAGGGAGGCAGGAGTCAAAAGACCTATGTAGAATGGATCATACTTGGCGGGTGATTAGATGTAGGAAGTAAGGAACAGAGAGGATTCAGACTACTTTTGGTTTTTAGACCTTAGGTTATGATGGTGACAGAAAGAAGGAAGGATGCAGATGTTGGATTAGGAAGGTGGAAAATTATGAGTTCATTTTTTAAACGGAACAGCAAATTACCTCCTGTTAACATAACACATGAAACTAGCTAGTGATGTCAAGAAAGTAGATATTCAACACACAGCAGTTAGTTATTGGCAGCTGTTTTTAAAATCAAGCAATTGGCCTGCTAATCTTGCATTGTTATTTAGGGGAAGCTAATCAAAGGCCGATGCTACATGTGAGTCCATGAATTGCAATTCTATTTCTCAATGCAGAAATTTTCCCCACCTCATGTAAAATGAACATTGCAAAATGCACAAGCCCATCTGGAGATAGGGAATCACACACAGCTTGCTCAAAAAGAACCTCTTTGTATTAATGAAGTTTCTTGGGATGGGAAGTATGGTGGGACAAGCAGGTGACCTCACTTGGGTTGTGCAGGTACCCATCCTGCATTTGAGAGAACTTCCTTCAATTTTATATCTTAGGCATCTCACTTAGTCCTGGCCCTGTGGATACTGTGAGATATTTTCTAGGACAAAGCAGCAATAAAGGATCTTTATTAAAAAGTCATATGTTACTGTGCAAGACCAGATAGCAAAAATTTGAGGCTTTGCAGGCCATGCAGTCTCTGTTTCAACTACTCAATTCTGCCACTGTAGTGGAAAAGCAACCACAGATGATTTATAGTGCATGGGCATGGCTGTATTTTGGCAAAACTTTATTTATAAAAACAAGTGCCTGGCCAGATATGATCTTCGAGTCATTGTTTCTCAGCCATGGTATGTGGAAGGAGCTAACCAGGTCTTAAGTTTAAATTCCAGATCTGCCATTTACCAAATATGTAGATTTGTATATATGCCTCTGTAAAATGGATTCATTATGCTTTTCTTACTGATTGTGAGGATTAGAGAAAATGAGTGCAAAACGCCTCATAAATAACAGGCGTTCAATAGGGCAGTAAGTGATCCTTTTACTCTTAAGACATAGTAAGAATAGTAGCTAGCTCTTATTAAATGCTTATGATATGTTAGCTACTGTCTCAAGCATTTTACAAAGTTTATTTCATTTAATCTTCCAACAAGTCTCTGAAGAAGTCACTATTATAGCAAACTTTTCTACTTATGGAGAAACTGAGGCACTGAGAATTACCCAAAAGTTGCTTGGTACAGATAGTAAGTGATATAACTGGGACTTAATCTCAAGCAAGTGAACTCCAGAGGGCTTGGTGCTAACCCCTACGTTAGTTAATTAGTTCCACTAAAAGCTCTAATTGAAATGCTCAGAATCATCTCAAGTTCTTCAGGGCTTTTCATACTCATCACAGGGTTACAAACTGAAAATAGTTTAATACAACAACTTTTAAAAATTTACCTTCAGGTTAGGACTCAGACAACATGTTAAATAAATAACACACTTGTCCTAACCTCCTTCCTGCTCACCAATCCCTCTTCATCTAACAAAAATATCAACAATGAAGGCAAACCAAAATATTATTGAGAAAGCTAATGCAAACCCATTTCAAAAAATTTATCCTACAATCACTCTAAAAACTTGTAATTTCAAAGCCATACTGCAGAATGGCATACTGGATTAATTATGCCAGACTGCAGCAATAACCTTGAATTAAAGCTGCAACCTTCTATTTTTAAGAAACACTTGCCTTTCTGGTTGATGAAACCTGTCGTCCCATCAGGTAACAGACGTGACCAGGAAAGAGAGAAGCGGTAATGAGTCAATCCAAGCTGTTTGATACATTTCAAATCTTCCTCCCACAGAGTGTAGCTGCCACAAGCTACATCGCCAGTCTGGTTCTTGAAAACTCGCTCTCCTCCCTGATGGGTAAATGTGTCCCAGACACAAGGGCCTTTTCCATCTGCATCCCAGCCTCCTGAGAAAAATAAGAAAATGAAACAGTTACACTCTTGACATCAAGAGGCATATGCAGAATGTAAATATTTGTCACCAAAAGAACATACCTCATTAACTCAATGTACCATATTTATAACTTTAAAATATGCCTTTAAAATAACACGCATGAGCAGGTTATGTGTTTAACTGTCCTTGATCCCTGAAGCTGACTGGTGGCAAATGAAAAATTATTGCATAGTGCTGCTGCATAGCAGGCTTTCATGGTTCATTATCTGAAGATCTCTCTGCTGGTAAACAGAGGCAGCCCCAGCTTATGAATGTCTGAGTTGAAAACATCTCCTTGTGAGCATTCCCCTCACTATGACTGGCAGGTCTTGCCCTTGTGCATGATGGCGTCTCAAGACTTTATCTATGGCCCTTGATACTTAAACCCTAATCTCCTGTTATCTGACAATGGGGCCCATGGTCCCAGTCCATTATTTTGGAGGGAGTGGGTGCTAGTTTCCACCATTGTTGATATGATATTGGTATCTGAAATTCATTCATTCCTATCTCCTTAATTCAACAAATACTATGTGGCAGGCACTTTGCTATGCACAGGGGATGCCAGGATGAATTATGTTGCACCTCATGTTCTCTGGAAATTTAGAAAATAGGCAATTGCAAAACAGCCAATGTAAAGGCCCTTTCCTGGCAATTATCTAAATGGGGGCTAGAGTCAAAGGGATCCTCAGAAAGCTTAATTTTTCTGTGAACCTAAAACTGGTCTAAAATTACAAATTCCTTCAATTTAATAAAAGAGCATATACAATATGTGAAACAATCCACGCATTTTCTGAACAAACACATATGAGGTAAAAGTATAACAATTCGCATGGGAATGATAAATTCAAGTTAGTGATTACCTCTGGGGAGAAAGAGGAGGAAATGGAACCAGGAGGGAGTCTACAGGCTTTCTAAATTGCATCTCTTATATTTCATTCCTTACCTTAGGTAGAAGATTTATGTGAGACAATCTATTATATTATTTTGCAATCCTTTTTTATATGCCTAAAATATTTCATCATGTTTTCCAATAAGAAAAGAGGCCATCGCTAGAGTTGATGAAAGAAATTACAGAAGGTCTTCCAGGTCTTCACTGAGTGTCTACACACTCATACTTTGTGCACAATTCTTAAAAATTTAGGTATAGTCCCAGTTCAACCTCAGGAGAGCAGGAACAGTAAGAGTTTATGGAGAAGACCATGAGGAGACAAGAATGGTTGTTAAAAAGAAAAACTCTAACAGTAGCTTTTCAAGGTAGGATACTAAAATATCTGTGCAAAGAAGTCGTGGGTATTAAAAGTATGTTACTTTAAAGCTGTGTCATTATAGAGGCGAATAGTTTTATCCATTCCAGTGGCTCTCAATTATGCCTGCATGTGGGATTACAGGGATGACGATAAAAGAATACTGGTGTTCAATGTTAGGATCAAATAGGTACAAACACAATAATACAATTTTTTCAAGTATGGTGTGCCTAGTTTTGAATGATTGATTTAATAAATAAAAAAGTTTAATCTCAGAGAACTTAAATAGTATTGTGTTGACATATTTAATTGGCTACATGCAAAAAAAAAGTATAGATCTATATGTGTTACTGATATAAAGTATTTTAACACATAATTTATAAATAATAATAAAATAAACAATGCTTTTTACTCTTAATTCCATATAGCCAATTGATTATCACAGAATGCTCTTTTAGATTTTTACCAAACTCTTATAACTAGGAAGTAGTGATTCTGAGTAGTTATTAACTTTGTTTGCAGTATACATTATTTACATATAAGTTTACATAATCTAGCTATAATTCCTATGCTTAAAAATCAGCTCACACAATTAATTTCATATAGCCAATTGATTCCCACAGAATGCTCTTTTAGATTTTTGCCAAACTCTTCTATCAATAGGCAATCTACAGTTGCAACATGACAAACGTGTAAGTCTCACATGACTGAATGTTGGTTGATATTTTTGCTTCAATTAAGAGGCAAAAATGAAAGAAAAACAATAAAGATGTACCAGAACTTCACTTGTTCACCAGGGACATGAACTACTTCTTTGCTGAATCAGGTAATAGTTTTCAAGCACTAGAAGACCATTTTCTCATTTTTGTGCTACTCACAATGTAGCAGTTTCAGACATGACATACTTTTAAATACAATCTGATTCATTAACATTTTCTTTACCACTTTCTTAGGTCTGGACAACCAACAAAATAATAAATCAAATACTGACTTGTAGTACTTTCCAATATCTGTGGTGTAAACACACCCATAGTGGCCAGTTTTAAGCAACCAAAGTGATAACACTGAAGGCACAGTTGGAAAAAGATGAGCAGTTGCATATTACTTTACAGTATTTCTCCTATACAGATAAAAAAATCTAAATTATCCCAAGGGTATAATTAATAGTAAAATTTAATAAAATTTAATAAAATAACTAGGAAATAGCAATTCTAATAGTTGATTTTGGTTTGGGTATAAATTATTTACATATAAGTTTACATGACTTAGTTTTTAATAATTCCTGTGTTTAAGAATTGGCTCACAAAAACTCAATAGGCTCTCATGAGCCAGCGAAAACTGGCTTCACCACAGCACTTATAAGTAACTTGACTAAGAACATGCTGTTAGTAAGTGAGAGTGCCAGGATTTGTAGCCAGATTTTGGAAGTCCAAGTCCTTCCACTGGACCATACTGCTCTTAGTAATAATGACTCTGAGTGACACAGAAAAGGTTAACTGATACCCACACTACTAACTTTATAAAGGCTAAAAAGCATAAAACTCAGCATATATATTTTGGAAAGCAGTTTATCTAAGGTGACTAAAACAAGTTTTGACAATTTTAAGGGGCAAATGTCCCTTAGCAGGAAAATGTGCTTATGTGGATTTGTTCATTCTTCATGTGTATACTAGCTAGACAAAGCATATCCAAACAACATTGTTTCTATAAGAAACAAAACTTTGTATTGAAAATTAACACCTATAACTGATATTTGATTTTTAAAATATATATACAGGCCAATACTTGCTAGTACTTTAAAATAAATCTTGCCTTTCTAATAATAAAAAATAATAAATAAATAAATAAATAATAAATCTTGCAAAATGAATAATATCAATAGTTGACTTGTTCATTCGTAATTTTCTCCAGTTGCAATTATGTCCACATTCTAAAGGCATGTTGTCTTTTACAACGAGTAAGACTACAATTTTCAGATAGACTGCATACTTTGAGCCATCCATCAAAAACATTGACTGCTGGATGAAATATAGAAAATATATTTTTAAGTGTGTTGTTAATCTGGCAGGAAGTTAGGTAACCTAAAAACAAAGTGAGAGAGGTAATTCAGAAGCATAAGTGAGCAGTGATGCAGGCTTCTGTTCTAAAGAGCCCCTGTCAATTCCAATTATCTGCACATCCATTTTAATGGCCTTGTGGAACAAGGGAAAAGGAAACAAAGTCTAAGCCTCCCCCAAGATGGAAAGCATAAATGGATATGCTACATAAAGCTGACCACACAAGGACTTCATGCCCTGTGCAAGAATAAACAAGGATAAACCTTACCGGCAGTAAGAAAGAACAAAGAAATTAACTTGCCTCAGACATGGGTGGAGGGGGAAAATAACTTCTCAATGTTTGTAACTACAACTCAGCCATCAAACCATTAAGTGTGAGAATGGAAAAATAAATTTTTGTATACATGAGTTCTCAAAAATGTTCCTTTCTTTGAATGTTACTGGAGGGTAAATTTCACCAAAACAATGATATAACCAAGAAAGATAAAGAACTAGAATGCAGGAAACAAAAAATTGAGCAAAGAGAATTAACAAAGAGAATTCCTGGGTGCAATGGACTAAATTATGTACCCTCAAAATTTATATGTTGGAGCTCTAACCCACTATGTGACTGAATCTGGAGTTCGGGCCTTTAAGGAGGTAATTATGGTTGAATGAGGTTATAAGGGTACAGGTCTAACCCAATATGACCGATGTCCTTATTAGAGGAGAGAAAGAGAGACATCAGGATATGCGTGCAAAAAGAAAAGGCCATGTGAGAACACAGCAAGAAGGCAACCATCTGCAAGCCAAGAAGTAGGGTCTCAGGAGAAACTAACCACGCTGACATTTTGATCTTAGATTTGCAGCCTCCAGAACTGTGAGAGAAAAAAAAAATCTATCTTTTGAGCCACCTAGTCTGTGGTATTTGGTTATAGCAGTCCTAGAAAACTAATACAGTGGTATAATAGCAAAGAGAAACTTCCAAATGACAGCTATGCAGTAGACACAATGAACAACCAGTCCATTTGAGCATGTGCTAGACTATGAGAAATGTTTTTTTTAAGAAGATTATACAGGGCTGGGAGCAGTGGCTCCTCTCTCTAATCCCAGCAATTTTGGAGGCTGAGGCAGGAGGATTACTTGAGCCCAGGAGTTCAAGACCAGCCTAGACAACATAGCAAGACCTTGTCTCTAAAAAAAAAAAAAAAATAGAAAATTAACCGGCATGGTGGCAAGTGCCTATAGTCTTAGCTATTCAGGAGGTTGAAGTGGAAGAATGGCCTGAGTTTAGGAGGTCGAGATTGCAGTGACCTATGATTGTGCCACTGTACTGCAGCCGGGACGACAGAATGAGACAGCGAAGAAAAAAGAAGATGATGAAGATGAAGGAGGAGGAGAAGAAAAAGAATAAGGAAGAAGAGGAGCAGGAGGAGGAGGAGGGGAAGAGAAAGGTGTAGGGGAAGGAGGAAGAGAAAAAGAAGGAGAAAAAGAAGAAGAAACAAATAGAATATATAGTATGCTGTATCAGTCAGGTTCTCCAGAGAAACAAAATCAATAAGTTATTTATTTATTTGTTTGTCTGTTTACTTATTTAGGAAATTGACTTACACAATTGCGGAGGCCAAGAAATCCCACAATTTAGCCATCTAGAGAACCAAGAAAGCAGTGAACTGGGAGTATAATTCAGCCCA